TTTTTAATGATTTTAACTATTAACCATAAAAGCCTTTAAATTCCATTAATAATCGTATTGATGCGATCCACGAACATTCAAGCCCACCTCCAAAGCGACGAATGTCAGTACCATCAAGAGCAGAGCCTTTTTTCTGTTAATAGAAAAGAGTAGAATGATTATGATTATCAATTCGGATTCTCAACTCGTACCCAGATAATGGCTGCTTCTATTTAGTGTATTTATTGAGTGCTATTAGCCAGGATGCAATAACCCGATTCCAGTTCCAGTTCCAGAGGGAGTTGAAATGAATGTTTAACAATTGTGTGTAACCAGCAAAGCTCCAGCAGCAGCTACCTATCCTTTTCTGTCTTCTTTATTCTGCGTTATACCAAAATCAAAAAACAACAAACCTGTGGATGTAGATATGGATTTACGGCTATATCCTGCTGGAGAGAAGCGAAAGATCAGAAACGTTGAAAAGTCTCAGCAGATTTTACATTTCTCTAACCAGTAAGAGTGTGGAGAGTTTTTTTGTTTTATTTTGTTTGCTGGATATAACTTTAGCTTACTAAAAAAAAATCACCTCAAAATTTTGATGTTCCCCAGCCGAGACCTGGGGACTGAATGAATATTTCCGAGAATATTTTCCCTGTTCGGATTTTTTCTAAGTTTTGTTCGATTCCACAGCCTACTATTTCTACATACTTATCCCAGTTTTTATACCCGGTACTCATTTTTGGGATTTTCGATATCCAAGACCGAAGTTGGCGAAACGATTCTCCAAACTGCTGCCATTTGATTGTTTGTTGCTTGAAGTTTCACTGTGCTCAGTTACACTATAAGCGATATAAGTTAAAGCCATAAGTTAAATTATAGAAAGACAGAGTTGAAGGTGACAGTAATGTCTAGTCGGACGGGACGGGACGGAACGGGACAAGGATACTACAAACTCAGAAAATCTGAAAGTCGAAAATTCTTGGTCTGGCGCTTAAGATCTAGAATCTAGTAGCCCCTCCTTTGGTTGGCATAGTCAAAGTCCTTGTTGTCCTTGTTGATGGCCCGGTCGAAGGATGACGATGTCTTGTTAGGTTCGGATCTTGCAAGGGGTGCGGTTTTGTCCTGCTGGGATAGGACTCCGTCTGGCAATTGTCAGCGGCAATTGTAGAACATCATCTGCCAGGTTGTGGGGCGCCACCAACATCACGAAATGCTCATATCCCGCCGCCAAATCCAGCAGCTCCTTTCCTTCTTCGTAGAGACGCATGTGCCGAGGCTGCAGCTCCGCCTTGAAGACCTCCCCGCAACTGCCCATCACATATGTCTCGCCGTTGGCGCTCACAAAGACCACACCCTGGGCAGAGCAGCAGACACGACGTAGACGGACGCCTTCGTCGATAATCTCTAGGGGATCGAAGCTCAGCGTCTGCCAGGCATGCGGGTGGTGCACGTACCTATCCAGCCCGAGGCCCGTGATGAATTGGCGCTGCACCGAACCATTAGCGAGCACCACGAACAGCTCCAGGCTGCCACTGCAGTAGTCCACATCGACAACGTCCGTACGTAGTAGGGTGAGGTCCAGCGAGCTCCTGTTTGTCTGCAACTGAGCCGAGTAAAGGGAGTGGTCTGTTGTCAACAGGAGCACCCCGCCGCGGTCAGCATCGCCTATGCGACAGATCCGTAGCGCGGGCGGTCGTGTCAGTGGCGGCGTGCCGTCGTGATAGATAATGAAGGATTCGTCATCGCCAGGGGTCACAGCTACCTTCATTGCCTTGTCATTGGCCGCACTGCACATAGTACTCGTCACCTCTTGTTGTTGTTGGATTTGGCCAGGGCCAAAGTTTTGTAACACGACACATGCCGCACGCGCATTGGGATTCACTATCCACTCAGTGCATGGCTATCGAACATTCTACGATCGCAATTTGGACGCACCTTGCCTTGCCAGGATCTTTAACAAGAGTTTTCGATGGGATTCCATTTGTGATGGTTTCTTGAGTTTAGTGTGCCCGTGCCCTAGGAATACCAAAATAATACTAAAAATACCAATCAGCATTGGGGGTACTCTGAGCATCCCCAGCAGGGTGACGTCCAGTGATTTCATTTCGGCTTATATAAGGCTATAGCTAGCATTTTTGTTAACGAAATAGCTTTTGAACATTTACATATACCCATATAAACCCAAAAACCATTTATGGTTTATACATATAACCATAGATAAGAGCTTTTCAATCGGGATTTTAAAAGGAGAAGTAATATTAAATACAATTGATTACTTTTTATAAGCGTAAATTCATTGTACTATTTTATACAATTTTTCAAACGAAAAAAGGAGAAGGCGAGGTGAAGTCTGCCTGCCACTTGAAATTCATTTTACTGAAATTGCTTTTTGCAGAGAGAGAATTGGGGAGGCAATAAGTTTAGCGGCGACGACCTTCCCACAACTTCCAGCTTCCACATGTGCCTGTCAGAAAGGAAACCCAATCACATAAATCAAAGAAAACAATACAAAAAATGGGTAAAGAACTTTTTAATGATTTTAACTATTAACCATAAAAGCCTTTAAATTCCATTAATAATCGTATTGATGCGATCCACGAACATTCAAGCCCACCTCCAAAGCGACGAATGTCAGTACCATCAAGAGCAGAGCCTTTTTTCTGTTAATAGAAAAGAGTAGAATGATTATGATTATCAATTCGGATTCTCAACTCGTACCCAGATAATGGCTGCTTCTATTTAGTGTATTTATTGAGTGCTATTAGCCAGGATGCAATAACCCGATTCCAGTTCCAGTTCCAGAGGGAGTTGAAATGAATGTTTAACAATTGTGTGTAACCAGCAAAGCTCCAGCAGCAGCTACCTATCCTTTTCTGTGTCTTCTTTATTCTGCGTTATACCAAAATCAAAAAACAACAAACCTGTGGATGTGGATATGGATTTACGGCTATATCCTGCTGGAGAGAAGCGAAAGATCAGAAACGTTGAAAAGTCTCAGCAGATTTTACATTTCTCTAACCAGTAAGAGTGTGGAGAGTTTTTTTGTTTTATTTTGTTTGCTTGATATAACTTTAGCTTACTAAAAAAAAATCACCTCAAAATTTTGATGTTCCCCAGCCGAGACCTGGGGACTGAATGAATATTTCCGAGAATATTTTCCCTGTTCGGATTTTTTCTAAGTTTTGTTCGATTCCACAGCCTACTATTTCTACATACTTATCCCAGTTTTTATACCCGGTACTCATTTTTGGGATTTTCGATATCCAAGACCGAAGTTGGCGAAACGATTCTCCAAACTGCTGCCATTTGATTGTTTGTTGCTTGAAGTTTAACTGTGCTCAGTTACACTATAAGCGATATAAGTTAAGGCCATAAGATAAATTATAGAAAGACAGAGTTGTAGGTGAAAGTAATGTCTAGTCGGACGGGACGGGACGGAACGGGACAGGGATACTACAACCTCAGAAAATCTGAAAGTCGAAAATTCTTGGTCTGGCACTTAAGATCTAGAATCTAGTAGCCCCTCCTTTGGTTGGCATAGTCAAAGTCTTTGTAGTACTTGTTGATGGCCCGGTCGAAGGATGACGATGTCTTGTTAGGTTCGGATCTTGCAAGGGGTGCGGTTTTGTCCTGCTGGGATAGGACTCCGTCTGGCAATTGTCAGCGGGAATTGTAGAACATCATCTGCCAGGTTGTAGGGCGCCACCAACATCACGAAATGCTCATTTCCCGCCGCCAAATCCAGCAGCTCCTTTCCTTCTTCGTAGAGACGCATGTGCCGAGGCTGCAGCTTAGCCTTGAAGACCTCCCCGCAACTGCCCATCACATATGTCTCGCCGTTGGCGCTCACAAAGACCACACCCTGGGCAGAGCAGCAGACACGACGTATACGGACGCCTTCGTCGATAATCTCTACGGGATCGAAGCTCAGCGTCTGCCAGGCATGCGGGTGGTGCACGTACCTATCCAGCCCGAGGCACGTGATGAATTGGCGCTGCACCGAACCATTAGCGAGCACCACGAACAGCTCCAGGCTGCCACTGCAGTAGTCCACATCGACAACGTCCGAACGTAGTAGGGTGAGGTCCAGCGAGCTCCTGTTTGTCTGCAACTGAGCCGAGTAAAGGGAGTGGTCTGTTGTCAACAGGAGCACCCCGCCGCGGTCAGCATCGCCTATGCGACAGATCCGTAGCGCGGGCGGTCGTGTCAGTGGCGGCGTGCCGTCGTGATAGATAATGAAGGATTCGTCATCGCCAGGGGTCACAGCTACCTTCATTGCCTTGTCATTGGCCGCACTGCACATAGTACTCGTCACCTCTTGTTGTTGTTGGATTTGGCCAGGGCCAAAGTTTTGTAACACGACACATGCCGCACGCGCATTGGGATTCACTATCCACTCAGTGCATGGCTATCGAACATTCTACGATCGCAATTTGGACGCACCTTGCCTTGCCAGGATCTTTAACAAGAGTTTTCGATGGGATTCCATTTGTGATGGTTTCTTGAGTTTAGTGTGCCCGTGCCCTAGGAATACCAAAATAATACTAAAAATACCAATCAGCATTGGGGGTACTCTGAGCATCCCCAGCAGGGTGACGTCCAGTGATTTCATTTCGGCTTATATAAGGCTATAGCTAGCATTTTTGTTAACGAAATAGCTTTTGAACATTTACATATACCCATATAAACCCAAAAACCATTTATGGTTTATACATATAACCATAGATAAGAGCTTTTCAATCGGGATTTTAAAAGGAGAAGTAATATTAAATACAATTGATTACTTTTTATAAGCGTAAATTCATTGTACTATTTTATACAATTTTTCAAACGAAAAAAGGAGAAGGCGAGGTGAAGTCTGCCTGCCACTTGAAATTCATTTTACTGAAATTGCTTTTTGCAGAGAGAGAATTGGGGAGGCAATAAGTTTAGCGGCGACGACCTTCCCACAACTTCCAGCTTCCACATGTGCCTGTCAGAAAGGAAACCCAATCACATAAATCAAAGAAAACAATACAAAAAATGGGTAAAGAACTTTTTAATGATTTTAACTATTAACCATAAAAGCCTTTAAATTCCATTAATAATCGTATTGATGCGATCCACGAACATTCGAGCCCACCTCCAAAGCGACGAATGTCAGTACCATCAAGAGCAGAGCCTTTTTTCTGTTAATAGAAAAGAGTAGAATGATTATGATTATCAATTCGGATTCTCAACTCGTACCCAGATAATGGCTGCTTCTATTTAGTTGAAATGAATGTTTAACAATTGTGTGTAACCAGCAAAGCTCCAGCAGCAGCTACCTATCCTTTTCTGTCTTCTTTATTCTGCGTTATACCAAAATCAAAAAACAACAAACCTGTGGATGTAGATATGGATTTACGGCTATATCCTGCTGGAGAGAAGCGAAAGATCAGAAACGTTGAAGTCTCAGCAGATTTTACATTTCTCTAACCAGTAAGAGTGTGGAGAGTTTTTTTGTTTTATTTTGTTTGCTTGATATAACTTTAGCTTACTAAAAAAAAATCACCTCAAAATTTTGATGTTCCCCAGCCGAGACCTGGGGACTGAATGAATATTTCCGAGAATATTTTCCCTGTTCGGATTTTTTCTAAGTTTTGTTCGATTCCACAGCCTACTATTTCTACATACTTATCCCAGTTTTTATACCCGGTACTCATTTTTGGGATTTTCGATATCCAAGACCGAAGTTGGCGAAACGATTCTCCAAACTGCTGCCATTTGATTGTTTGTTGCTTGAAGTTTAACTGTGCTCAGTTACACTATAAGCGATATAAGTTAAGGCCATAAGATAAATTATAGAAAGACAGAGTTGTAGGTGAAAGTAATGTCTAGTCGGACGGGACGGGACGGAACGGGACAGGGATACTACAAACTCAGAAAATCTGAAAGTCGAAAATTCTTGGTCTGGCGCTTAAGATCTAGAATCTAGTAGCCCCTCCTTTGGTTGGCATAGTCAAAGTCCTTGTTGTACTTGTTGATGGCCCGGTCGAAGGATGACGATGTCTTGTTAGGTTCGGATCTTGCAAGGGGTGCGGTTTTGTCCTGCTGGGATAGGACTCCGTCTGGCAATTGTCAGCGGGAATTGTAGAACATCATCTGCCAGGTTGTAGGGCGCCACCAACATCACGAAATGCTCATTTCCCGCCGCCAAATCCAGCAGCTCCTTTCCTTCTTCGTAGAGACGCATGTGCCGAGGCTGCAGCTCCGCCTTGAAGACCTCCCCGCAACTGCCCATCACATATGTCTCGCCGTTGGCGCTCACAAAGACCACACCCTGGGCAGAGCAGCAGACACGACGTATACGGACGCCTTCGTCGATAATCTCTAGGGGATCGAAGCTCAGCGTCTGCCAGGCATGCGGGTGGTGCACGTACCTATCCAGCCCGAGGCCCGTGATGAATTGGCGCTGCACCGAACCATTAGCGAGCACCACGAACAGCTCCAGGCTGCCACTGCAGTAGTCCACATCGACAACGTCCGTACGTAGTAGGGTGAGGTCCAGCGAGCTCCTGTTTGTCTGCAACTGAGCCGAGTAAAGGGAGTGGTCTGTTGTCAACTGGAGCACCCCGCCGCGGTCAGCATCGCCTATGCGACAGATCCGTAGCGCGGGCGGTCGTGTCAGTGGCGGCGTGCCGTCGTGATCGATAATGAAGGATTCGTCATCGCCAGGGGTCACAGCTACCTTCATTGCCTTGTCATTGGCCGCACTGCACATAGTACTCGTCACCTCTTGTTGTTGTTGGATTTGGCCAGGGCCAAAGTTTTGTAACACGACACATGCCGCACGCGCATTGGGATTCACTATCCACTCAGTGCATGGCTATCGAACATTCTACGATCGCAATTTGGACGCACCTTGCCTTGCCAGGATCTTTAACAAGAGTTTTCGATGGGATTCCATTTGTGATGGTTTCTTGAGTTTAGTGTGCCCGTGCCCTAGAAATACCAAAATAATACTAAAAATACCAATCAGCATTGGGGGTACTCTGAGCATCCCCAGCAGGGTGACGTCCAGTGATTTCATTTCGGCTTATATAAGGCTATAGCTAGCATTTTTGTTAACGAAATAGCTTTTGAACATTTACATATACCCATATAAACCCAAAAACCATTTATGGTTTATACATATAACCATAGATAAGAGCTTTTCAATCGAGATTTTAAAAGGAGAAGTAATATTAAATACAATTGATTACTTTTTATAAGCGTAAATTCATTGTACTATTTTATACAATTTTTCAAACGAAAAAAGGAGAAGGCGAGGTGAAGTCTGCCTGCCACTTGAAATTCATTTTACTGAAATTGCTTTTTGCAGAGAGAGAATTGGGGAGGCAATAAGTTTAGCGGCGACGACCTTCCCACAACTTCCAGCTTCCACATGTGCCTGTCAGAAAGGAAACCCAATCACATAAATCAAAGAAAACAATACAAAAAATGGGTAAAGAACTTTTTAATGATTTTAACTATTAACCATAAAAGCCTTTAAATTCCATTAATAATCGTATTGATGCGATCCACGAACATTCGAGCCCACCTCCAAAGCGACGAATGTCAGTACCATCAAGAGCAGAGCCTTTTTTTCTGTTAATAGAAAAGAGTAGAATGGTTATGATTATCAATTCGGATTCTCAACTCGTACCCAGATAATGGCTGCTTCTATTTAGTGTATTTATTGAGTGCTATTAGCCAGGATGCAATAACCCGATTCCAGTTCCAGTTCCAGAGGGAGTTGAAATGAATGTTTAACAATTGTGTGTAACCAGCAAAGCTCCAGCAGCAGCTACCTTTCCTTTTCTGTGTCTTCTTTATTCTGCGTTATACCAAAATCAAAAAACAACAAACCTGTGGATGTGGATATGGATTTACGGCTATATCCTGCTGGAGAGAAGCGAAAGATCAGAAACGTTGAAAAGTCTCAGCAGATTTTACATTTCTCTAACCAGTAAGAGTGCGGAGAGTTTTTTGTTTTATTTTGTTTGCTGGATATAACTTTAGCTTACTAAAAAAAAATCACCTCAAAATTTTGATGTTCCCCAGCCGAGACCTGGGGACTGAATGAATATTTCCGAGAATATTTTCCCTGTTCGGATTTTTTCTAAGTTTTGTTCGATTCCACAGCCTACTATTTCTACATACTTATCCCAGTTTTTATACCCGGTACTCATTTTTGGGATTTTCGATATCCAAGACCGAAGTTGGCGAAACGATTCTCCAAACTGCTGCCATTTGATTGTTTGTTGCTCGAAGTTTAACTGTGCTCAGTTACACTATAAGCGATATAAGTTAAAGCCATAAGTTAAATTATAGAAAGACAGAGTTGAAGGTGAAAGTAATGTCTAGTCGGACGGGACGGGACGGGACGGAACGGGACAGGGATACTACAAACTCAGAAAATCTGAAAGTCGAAAATTCTTGGTCTGGCGCTTAAGATCTAGAATCTAGTAGCCCCTCCTTTGGTTGGCATAGTCAAAGTCCTTGTTGTCCTTGTTGATGGCCCGGTCGAAGGATGACGATGTCTTGTTAGGTTCGGATCTTGCAAGGGGTGCGGTTTTGTCCTGCTGGGATAGGACTCCGTCTGGCGGGAGGAAACCGGATACAACTCGGTTTGAGGCAAAGCGTAGGGTACATAAGTGAAGGTCTGTGAAGGAAGATATATTTCAAAATATATCCACAATTATATACTTCATTCACTTACGCGCTTTGAAGCTGAATCCCAGTGTTTGAATCGGCGGCGTATGAATGTGGGCCGGACCCAAAAAACAAAAGCTGGGCTGGATGGCTCATGATGACGCGGCGGTAGGCGAAGACCCTAGGATCTAATCCAGAAAGTTATTTTCCGACATGTTCGGTGTATTTAATGGCAGATCTATACATACATATACTGCATGATTAGTGGTAAGGCTTACAGGGATGAAAAGTCATGGCATTACGTTTAGGAATGTTAAGAGGAAGAAGGTTAATTAAACAAAAATTATTGAGAGCGTCAAGATTAGATTGAGGAAATAGCAGGGACTTCGGTTCGGAAAAACATAGCTTGACATCATCAGCATACATTAGGATTTGGGAATAAATTAAGACTTAAGAGGAAGATCATAAATACACAAATTAAACAACAAGGGCCCAAGTTAACTACCATTTCTACGAGTATTGCTCCCAAATATCTATGCCTCCCTTTCGCTTTCTATTGGCAGGCTTTCTTTTTCGCACTGCATACGGGCTTTAGAGATGGAATCACATCCCGACACGACATTACACCATGTGATTTTTTACATGTTATCTGGTTGGTAGATCAAAGATACCTCGTGTTGGGCTAAATCGAGCTATAAAATCTTCCAACATCTGTAAATTGTTGACTCCGTTACCTCTTTTAAGGAGCAAATATAAAATTCAAAGCCATTTTCAATAGAAATGTATTACGATCACTGAAAATCCATTTTATTATCTTATATAAACTTTCATAGTTTCGATGTTCAACGTGTTTAAAGGAGTAAAGGAGCAAATTAGATTCGCGATATCCCCATTGCACAGGAGATAGTAGTAATAGAAGGAGTAACAGGAGGAGGAGAAGGAGGTGCTGAAAATATTTAAAATAAATACAATTATGAAATTATACGAATAATAGAAGCTAAATAACTATTTACCGAAGACAAAGTTCAAGGCCTCTAATGGCACTTAATGTGTTAATTTATTTCAAAATGGCCAGTATATGAATACAAGTTTACCTCTCTTCGAATATGGGCTGGCAAATAGTCCATGACTATCACACAAGTTGGTTTAATTAATCAATGAAATTTAATGCAATTTCCCTCTGACCAATGTGAACTGGCACATAAATGTGTTCATTTAATTTAAGAGATGTAATAATGAAAGCTTTTCAACCATAGATTTAAAAATGGTATAAAGTCAACCGCACATAGGATAGACAACTCAGAGGGAAATCCCATCAGTGCGCTGTCAGTCTACAACACATTTGGAAATGAAGGGAATCGTTAGCTGTTGCGTGCTCGTCACGATCCTGGTCATAGCTGCCGATGTGCATGCGTACAGGAGTAAGTTCTGAGAGAAAAGTCCGTAGAATATTAAAAATTCATTCAAATATTCCCCTTAATTAAATAGAATTCGGACGCGATTGTCGGGATATTGCGTGTGCTCCGGGAGAGAGATGCATAATCTCTAGAGTTCCATGCAATGCTCCAGATGAGCTTGAGGAAAATCAATGCGGGCAATATCCAGTGTGTGAGGAGGTGGAGCAGAAGCAAATGAGTGCAGGTTCGTACAAAATTAGTTTCCATTTTCATCCCTCGGTCACATTCAGGCACTGGTACGTTTCAGATCAGAAGACAAACGCTTTCACGATCGATACCACACAGACCATAGCCAACACTCGCAGTAGCATCACCACACTCACCAGCACGATCAAGAGCACCAACCGCACCCAACCGAACCGACCGAAAATCATGCCGGACAGGGAAAATGACTTTGAGCTGCTGAACGATTACGAAAACATAGATTCCTCCTCCACTCTTGAACGACAACGACAGGCCAACGTTCTGGTCATTGTGCAAGATGGACCTCAGCAGTCCCAGCTACCAAACAGGGGCCTGGGACAGTATCCGCCCTGCACTATTAGTCCCTACTATCCGTATAACTGTAACTACCCGCTCCGCTCTAACGTGCCTGGTTCCCTCTCCACAGGCATTGGATTACCCCCCTATCCCCAGACAAGAGCAGCGAATGTTCCCCAATTAGTGCCACCCACCCCACCTTGCTATTACAATTGCTACCCCAGAGGGCCTCAGAGTCCCTACGCTCAATATGGGTATCCCCTTGCCCGATCCACCAGGCCCGTCACATCGACCAACAACTATTTGTTTTACCTCTCACTTGCTGGCTAAACTGGGTCCGTATTTCTATTCTTCTTCCCGCCAGCTCTGCGCCGACTTCGGCGTACGCCTCAGTGGTTGCCAGTTCCTCCACCTCCACCTGCACCACGTCCCGGGCTACCACCACCGTATCCCATTCCTGTCCAGCAACCGCGTCAAGCCCTTCCCCAGTCAGCGATTCAACCACTAAATAGGCCTCTACAACAGCCTCAGCGTCAGCACCAACTCTATTTCTCAATTGGTCTTACCTATCCATCGTATCTGAACTACGAAAGGCGTGCTGTAGGAGGATCCTCATCATATTTCTATAATCCGTCCGTGCCCAGCTACAATTCTTACTATTATAATATAAATCTACCATTTTCGGGCAGTTCCACTTAGGACAATATAAAACTGCGTTATGTTCACTTCCAAAAATGTTTCTCTGACATGTCTCAATTTCTTCTTTTGTTCCTCATTTTACCAGCTTTTCTGGAATACATGGAATCAAAAACAGATCCCGAAAACGAATACAAATCAGAGTCAAAGACATCGCATACATTTCACAACCGTTCAGCTCGGCAAGTCCCATTGCCTAGGCCCATACCAATGCCAATGCCAATACCCGGACCAATGCCAATGCCTCCTCGCCCAGTTCCCATGAATGTTCCAGTTCCCGGCCGGGTATATTATCCTCCGATTCCACAGTCTCAGTATATGGGGCAACCCATGAACATTGCAGGACCAGTACCCATGATGCCAATGATTCCGCAGAATGGTGCCGGAGCGGTGGGGACGGGTGGTACTAACATAATCGTTGAACCGTTAATCATTCTGCCAATGGGCATGGGGACGTCACCTGGCGTGGGAATCAATGGGAACCAATATTATGGGCCTGGCGGCGCTTATCCAACCTATAATCCCTATAACACCTACACCACATCTCGACCCTATTATGACTACAACAATTATAACAATAACAACTACAATAATTACAATAACTATACAAATACTGGCAACAACAATTATAATGATTACAATGCATATGGTTAGAAATTGTACTCGGCTTGCCCAACTTGCAACAAATAAACCAAGTTATATCGTTGGTAAAAATAGTTAATTAAATTTTTTAAGCTGTCTTTAGGAATGTCATTTGGAAAACGATGAAGTTGTAATTTTTCTTGATTTTTAGGTGTCGCACTGGAACGTAGGAAACGTGAAGCCGACCAAGAGGGTGTTGGGTATGGAATGGGTGGTAGTGGAATGGGAAAAGGCAATGTAAATGGGGGCGGTAATAATGGTGGAAATGGAATTGGTGCACGTGGACAAAACGGTAACGGAATGGGTGGTAATCAAATGGGCGGAGGAAACGGAATGAATGGAATGGGGGGACCAAATAGAATGGGAGGCCCAAATGGAATTGGTGGTGGTAATAACGGCGGTGGGAACGGAATGAACGGATTGGGTGGACCTAATAGAATGGGAGGACCAAATGGAATGGGTGGTAGTAACAACGGTGGAGGAAACGGAATGAATGGAATGGGTGGGCGGGGGGGATATGGTAATGGCATGGGGAACAATGGAATGGGCAACAACGGTATGGGACCCGGAGGAATGGGTGGGCCAAATAGAATGGGAGGACAAATAGGAATGGGTGGTGGATATAATGGTGGTAATAATGGTGGAGGAAACGGAATGAATGGAATGGGTGGAAGAGGGGGAAATGGAAATGGCATGGGGAACAACGGAATGGGCAACAACGGTATGGGATCCGGAGGAATGGGTGGGCCAAATAGAATGGGTGGACCAATTGGAATGGGTGGTGGTAATAACCATAATGGCAATGGTATGGGTCCTGGTAACTGGCGGGGTAATTATAATGGTAATACCGGAACGGGCACCAATGGAAATGATGGACAAGGATATCGTCGAAATGGAGGAACTTCAAACCAAAGCTACACCTACACCAGCACGCTAGCAACTTCTGTTATATAAAAAACAATGTACGTATGTGGAAGCAGGCCGGAAAAAGATATTTTTTTGGGCATATAAAAGTTTTTTTTTCTTTTCAATTCGATTATGTTATTACAAATAAATCAAGTGTTATGCATCACAATTTGTTTAATTTCTGTTGTTATACCTGGTACTCGAAGAGTCTAGATATATATTAGTTATATATTAGAAGGAAGTTTTTCTGTTGATCAGTTTCGCTTATCAGAATCCACCTGTCCGCCTGTCTTGATAAGGGAATAGATCGCAGAGACTATAAGTGCTAGAGCAAACAAATTTTGTATCCATATTAGAAAACTACAAGCGCAGAATAACTAAGAACAAGCGTATCTACCAGATTGCCAAATCTGGATCAGATCAGATGGATTTTGATGAATTGAGAAGAGAGGGAGAGATATAAGAAAAATGTATTGATTTTTACGTATCTACAGATAAAATAATTAAAAATTGTAATAAAATAGGTCATTAGGTGTAAAGATGTGGTTCCTATATATATTCCATCTGGAATGACAAGTTCGAGAGCTTCCTCCCTTCCACATTAAACAAAAAATTAATAGAAAGGTATGTATATATGTATGTAAGTAATATTAGTATACAGCGTACCAGCTCTCGTTTTTTAATTATTTTTTGGTTTTAGCTTTTTTTCTTGTTTTAGTCTATTGGTTTTGACTCTGACATTTTGGCAGCACTGGTACTGTACTAGATAATTAAATATTTTACATATGTTAGATGAAACAAAAGCCTGAAATAAATATAAATTAAAATTAAAGTTATAATTTATTTGTTGGGTTGGGTTTCTATTTATCCTGTTTTTAACTCTGTTGGTATTTTTTTTTACTTCTCTGAGCTTGGTCACATTCTGTGTACCCGCCAACAGCTGTTTGCTCGCGGGGTGTTTTCATCGTTTCATGTTTATTTTGCTTAAAATGTAGTTTGTTGTTAATTGTTTGCTGTTGCACCTGGTCACATTATATGTTACTGTTAAAACTCTCCAAAAAGATCCACTGAAGTGTCCCATCAGCAGCCACAGCATCAGCCAAATCAGGTGAGAGACCGCCCACAAAACCCGTATTTGACCATGATATCACCCACCCAAAATGTTATTTTCGCAGCACTGCAATGGATTCGGACTGTGAGTGGTCTGCTGCTGCTGCGTTGGCAGACGACTCCGGCCATTTCAGTTTCACCAGCGATGAGGGAACTAGAACCAGCCCCAGTAGCAAATGGCAGCAAGGCAGGGTCGGCGATCGGGACAAGGAACCGGAGAAATCAATGTTTCTTGTTAGGCAGGAGCTGCTAAAGTCGCGGAGCGAAATCGAGCGGCTCGCGAAGTCTGAGCAGTGGTACAAGCAGGAGCTAAAGTCACAGAAACACAGTC